CACTGAAGATTTACCCTAGCCAGGTAATAAAACGTTTGAAAAAAAAAAACCAGGCTCAGAGAACCCCAAGGACTCCACAGTTCAACCCTGAGCTACACATATTCACCACTATTGGTACTACATCCAGGAAAATGTGCACTTTTAAGACAGAATAGATTTTCACCTAATGTCATTAAGAAACCTAACCTGGAAACTTCTGAACAGTGAAGTACAAAAGGAGTTGATTTCAAAATGTTACGCCAAGCAATTAACAGGTCTTTGAGAGTCTGCTCTTACCTCTTTCGGCACCTGAAAAGAAAGCAAGGTAGAAATACCATTAGGAAAGAATGGAAGATGTCTTATGATTCAAAATCTATGTTCACAGCATATGTTTGCCAAATGCTCAATTTAGACACTTTCCAACACTTATCAAAATTGTATTTACATACAGTAATGGTTAAAAGACTGTAGGTTCCATCAACTCATTAAGAAACCTTAAACCAGGAATGGATAATCTTTATATAAATGGAAGCTACATTTTTTTTCTCCATTATTTTTGAGTATTTTTTGAGTGAGAATCACAGAAGGCATAATGGTGAACATCACGGGAGAGGCTGGGGTTGGAATCTTGGACTCTTTTTTTAAAAAACTTAGGGAGATTTGAGGTATTTTTTGCTTTTAGCAAATAGATGTTGTTAAGTCTATTGAAAGCACAGATAAAATTGAGCTATCAAAATGGGTAATCTACAAAGACATTTTCATTTATAGTTTAATATGTTAAAGGAGCAAAGATTGAGAGATGATTTTTTGTGGTTATTGATATTGTTACATGGTTCTAGTACATAGATCCAAACAGGTTTTAAAATAGCATATCATTTCTAAAAAGCCATAAATTAAAAACAGAAATGTCAAAATGCAGTATATATTCTCTGTCAAACAATGATCAATAATTACATCCATATTTTATTTATTATTCAATAATATCTTTACCTGTACTCTTTGGTTAAGGATAATTGCTAACTAGATTTGACTGACTCAATCAGTAACCCATCAAATGGGAAATGTTATTTTATTGCTACCACTGTATCCTCGTGTATCCATATTTTAATTCAACAATGAAACAAGGGCACAGTTTGATTGCTTTTAAGTTTCAGGCAGGACATTTCTAATTTAAGCAGAGCATAGTTACAGTCATACTTAAGTTATGGGGTCTGGTATTTAAAAACAAGTCTAACATTTGCATTTTATATTTTCTTGCCAAGTACAATTAGCTGGCCTATATATAACTGGGCTGGAATCTGACCAGCTCAATTGTAAGTGAGGCGGTAGGATGGGATTAATCAGTAGCCTAGTGACTAACATACCTCATAGATGGCAAAACCAACTGTGAGGAGATTGGCTCCTAGTTTGCGTTCTTTCCTCCTGTTTTTCTGCATCAGGGCCACCAGGAAACTGCATACAACCTCAGCATCTTCTGGATCATCATCTTCTTCCAGGAGTTTCAAGCGATATTGGGGATTGGTCCAAAATGTGTCTGTAAACCGCCCCCAACCCCGGTTTAAATTAAATGTTAGTTTCCTAAAAAATATTTTGACAGTTTCCATACCTCAGTTCCACTAGATATACTTTAAGAAAAAGTCAAAGGCCTGAAGGTACTAGGTTTAAGAAGATTGGTCAAGACATTTCTCTAAGGAAATCTATAAGCTTGTTTTACTCTAAACTGTCCTTAATTGCTATCAATCTTGGTACTATTGCTGTTAGTTTTAGAACAAAAACTGTTTAAAACAAAACCGTTTCAAAGAGCAATTTTATTTATCTGATTATTTTAGACAATTTAATAAGTTTAAAATACTTATCTTCCATTAACATATTTAACAGAAGCAAATTTAGAATAGATAGAATCCTACAGTGTTTAGAAGGATCTGTCATCACTGTTTTGCCCAGAGCTTAACCCAGACAACTGCTCTATAAAATGCCTAGATGAAGTATGGTCTTTTTCAATTGAATCCAAAGCACTGCCCAGATGTATTTACATTTCTTCTTCTACATTCTTCCTATCACAATAAAACAAATTAACCCTCCCCCTCAACATTAATCCGAAGGAGACTCTTCTGTGTGAGATCTGGCTATATTATAGCAATGTCATCAATTAAAGAAACACAGTAACAATTTTGCCACTTTCATCTGTTAATTTATTATACCAGTGTTTCTCACTCTCCACAACTTTAAGAAGCATGCTGACTGGGGAATTCTGGCAGATGAAGCCCACACATCAAAAAGTTGCTGAGGTTGACAAACACTGGATTATACTTGTACCCATGGGAATAGGCTTCCATGGATACAGCAGGACTTCCTATCCACTATTCAAAGGACTGTGCTATAAATCTGCCATAGCAGAAGCATCTGAAAATCCTTTCTTTGCTTTCAAAAATACCGCAAGAGGAAGGCACCACTTTAGAAGATGCATTCTGTCAGCCCTTCGAGGTAGTCCAGACAGGAAACTGAAACCATGAATACTAATACTACTTTTATTGTAAGGTTACAGTAGTAGAATCTTGCAAGTCTAAAAGCATTTCCCCCCTTCTCTGCCTTTACTTTCCAGAGAAGTAGGAAGGGTCCCTTCTGAGATGTTTTCTCCACTCCCATCTCTCCTTTAGACTCAGATTTCTCTTATCAGACCATCGTCTAGGCTGTGGCTCTTCCTCTTGTCTCCCAAGGTTATTCTCATGCCCATTACGCATTCTTTTCTGTGTTTAAGAGATGATGGAAAATCTCTTCTACAATGACTACCACTATTCAGCTTTTAAAAAAGACTTGTATAGAAATAATTATTTGGGGGAAAACCTGCTTATATTCTCAAGCAGTTGAATTAAGCAATGGATCCCTAACACTTTATTTACCTGGATAGTTACGGCAGCCGCCTGCAGTGCTACCTCGCACCCACCGTCCTTCCGTGACAGAAACTGTCCATGTGTGAAGCTTATCGGACACAAGGGTATCGGGTGTGAGATTACAAATCTCCAGCTTTGTGAAATACCTCAGGAAATCTTGGAATGATATCCTACAGAGTGTGAAACAAGAACACAAATGGCATGAAATGTCAAATGCACGGTGGGCTTTATATGATTGCTGCTGTACAGTCTAGTGCAGGAGATCATGTACCTAAGGTTAAAGCAAAGAGATGTAAGGATTCCTCAGAAGGAAATGCATCTCTTTTAAGCAGGCAAAGAAAGTTGAATATTTACCAGAACTCGCCATCCTCTGCAACTTTATGTTGCAAGCGGATCTTCTCGGCGTTGTCAATAACATTCCATTCATCTGAGCTGCAAGAAAAGGAAGAACCTTTTTCAGCTGATAAAAATGGGGTTACTTCTTCAATCATAAAGTAGCAACAGGTTTTTCAGTTCATAATCTATGAACAAAGTTTGTCTTTTATTAATTTAGTAAATACTGAATGTAGTTGAACTGCTTTTTTACTGCATCATCTGAGTATTCAAATTGTTGTTTATTATCTACAGTTGTGTAAATTATGTACTATTGACAGAAAATATTATAAATTATCATCCTCTTAAACATAATGGAGAAGCAGTCTCAATTCATTCAGCTTCTCTGAGATTTGTCTCTCTGGGGAAAAAAAAAAAAAGGACCCAACCCTGAAAA